AGAGAGAGATAGATAGATAGATAGATAGCTATAGATATAGATATAGATATATAGATAAACATACAAACAGACAGGCAGGGAGGCAGACAGACATACAGACAGACAGACAGTCAGACAGGTAGATAGATAGATTGGTGTGTCACCTTTGATTGATTTAATCAACAGCTTTCCAGTGACATGCATACGAACTCGTCGACTAGACGTTGCGATGAATGGTCATCTGAAGATGTGAAAGAGTGGCTTTGCTCAAATGGCTTCAGGAAATATAGCGAATTTTTGTGTGACATGCATGAATTGGATGGTGTCGCCTTGATAATGCTTTCCGAGGAGGATTTTAGACGTCCTCCATTATGTGAAACGTTTCAAGTGCTAGGTGATGTGAAGCGACTCCTGGCGGCTCTCAGGTAGGTAGTAAAATTTTTGATGTGCAGACAATTCAATGTAGCTTACAACTTTTGACCACTGGTATTATCCATGAGTTGTCATGCATCCCAGGAAACTCTAGGTCAATTTCATGAGTCTGATCATTAATTACATTTGTCTGCTCATACCATACACATATCTATAGATTTGTGTAGATATCGTCTTATGTACAATCATCTCAATTTACGTCGGTTGACACGGTCAGCAGAAATATGTTTAAATTTACGAAGCTTGGTAATCTATTTCAAATACAGCTGGCTTCAGTCTAAGTCCATGTAAGTTGGGTTGCCTCACCGTGCGTAAAGTGCAACTTGCTCTCTTTTACAGAAAGCTACAAATTGAAAATTCTGATACCCTGAAAGAGCTTGGCATTGATATGACCACTGAGGAAGTGCTACATTCTGGCTCTAGGCCAATCCACATTCATAAACATTATGGCCAGAAGTATAGCTGTGGGCCAGTGCAACGCAGTGACAGTACAGATTCTCCAGACGTTTCGCTACATCCTGCGACTAGCAGAGGCACCTGTGATACATGTTTCCCTCCGGAAATCTGGAAAACATTGATAGCTGCAGGATACATGAATGTTGTACTCCTGGTCACATCATTTGTCATGGTTAGTAGAAATATCAGGACCACCAGTACTAACGATCTTACCAGCAGATCTGTGGTGATATGAACGTGTATGTGCCACGGACACTTTACATGTAGAAAACCTGATAGAGCATGACATCGTAGCTATAAGATATTTAAGAATATTTATTTGAAACCAGATATATGCAAAATTACTACTAGGAAAATAGATATTTGATGTACTGTATCATTTTTACATACATCATCATACATCATTTATCATGTATACATTTTTTGATACAGATTTGTATCTTAATGTAATTGCCTTAGTAGCACAACACTACCATCTAGCCTGGAAATGTGGACAGCTTAAACAATGTGAAGATACGACTTCATTTTGCTGTTGACAGGTGATAGTACATGACAGAGTTCCAGATATGGAGACATATCCACCACTTCCTGACATATTTCTGGATAACTTCCCAACAGTTCCTTGGGCCTTCATACTGTGTGAATATATTGGGATGGGACTGATGCTCGTTCTGTTTTCCACGCTCTTCATTCACAAGCACAGGTGTGACTGCTCAGTATTGTAACATTTTATTTGTTTTGCCATGTTTGCGTTGATCACTGCAGCAACTTCTAACATGCGATTAAATAATGAACTAGCTAGTGTCAAGTAACAGTTTCATAATAACTAGTAAGTAGTAATCTATCAAATCCATAATCTCATCCATTAGACTAGGTAAATTCATGAACTTGGTTTTATACATATATATATATATATATATATTTTTTTTTTTGGAGTGAGTATAATTTTTATTTTTCTTAGCTCAAATCTGAAAACACAAATTGGGAGCAATATCCTATATTTATAAAGCAGACAAATCCAAGAATGACATATTGATTTCAGATTCATCGTTCTGCGACGCATTTTCTCTATTGGTGGCACAGTTTTCTTTCTTCGTTGCATCTCAATGGTGATAACATCACTGTCAGTACCTGGAATACATCTGGAGTGTCACGAAAAGGTATATGCTTACTGTAATCTTACTAGAATGGCTACACATGAATGTACAGATTGTAGGATAAGAAGGCACATACTTAATTGGCAAATCTTCTCCAGAGAAGCCGGTTCTACAGGATTTCTAATTATTGCCATTCCATGCTTGAATGTGCACACACACAAACACACACACACAAATATATATATATATATATATTATTTATCGACTATATAATAGTAGAAAGGCCGACTTAGGTGTCGTGCTTTCCAGTATTCTCCTCCGAAACCGATGCCGTGATGCTCACGCGATTCCGCAGCCTGGGACCCCTTCTGCGGCGTCCAGCGAAACATTCCGCTACGTCTAGAACGCCCGATTTTTCATCGCTAAAGTAACTATTTTGAGGCCCAATTTTCTAAAAAGTTATGTGCCCGCAAGAAAATCAGAAGAACATCGGCATCATCCGGAAACCCGCTCACCAATCTTTTAACGACTCGCGCAAAAATCGCCATGCGCAGTCCAATGCAGACGTACGCTGAATCACTTGTAAATTGACGTGCTCTCATCGGCAAACCGCACCAAATTATTTAAAATCGCAAAAATGCCGGCATGCGCAGTCCAATCAGAGCATGTGAATCACTATAATATAATATAATATATAAATATATATATAATATGCCTATAATTATATATATTATTTATTGATTTATTTATTCCAGTATAAGCTCGAATCATCGTTGAGCAAATAAGTAAGGAAGATTGCGAGATAAAGTGCCACATGCAGAACAAGAAATAACTCATAGGATTAAATGTGGCCTCTCATCGAATGCCCTATAAGACATACCACTGAACGGAAGCAGAATGACCTTTGTTTAGGCATGCCATTATGGTGTACTACTAGCACTACTACTGCTACTGCTACTGCTACTGCCTACTGCTACTGCCTATGCTACTGCTACTAGCTACTGCTACTGCTACTGCTACTGCTACTGCTACTGCCCTACTGCTATGCCTACTGCCTACTGCTACTGCTACTGCTACTGCTACTGCTACTACTACTACTACGACTGTACTACTACTACTTACTACTAACTAAGTTTTGTCATAGCGTTGGGGGTGTCTGTCTCGAGGTTGATTTAGAAGAGCCGCGTTATAGAAGTTTTTTCAAAAATCATTTCTTTTTGCCAAAAATATGATTAATTGTGCTAGTCTTGACGCATGATAAAACTCTGTGGTCAATGCAGCATTGTCAGTCAGGACAACCAGCTGCGGTCTATGCCAAGTAAACTAAGTCTAATCGATTCTCAGCTAGCCTTGTGTTTGTTCACAGATGTACGGCAGCTTGTTGGAACAATTAAAACGAGGTCTTGAGATCTACGCTGGCATGGGCATGGCCACACAAGGAGTGCGGTCATGTGGCGACTACATGTTCAGTGGACATACATGCGTTCTCACCCTGCTAAACTTTTTCATCACAGAGTGTGAGTTAGTAATTAGTTATTGACTGAAGGGAGGTTCAGATATTTTTCATTACAGAGTGTGAGTTAGTAGTTAGTTATTGACTGAAGGGATGTTCAGATATTTTTCATCACAGAGTGTGAGTTAGTAATTATTTATTGACTGAAGGGATGTTCAGATATTTTCCATCACAGAGTGTGAGTTAGTAATTATTTATTGACTGAAG